TCGGCCCGCATGACATGCCACGGCCTCGGACCGCATGCCTTGCTACAAAAAAATAGTGCAAAGAAGTATACATTCACAAATCACTCATCTATATACCATGACATCATATACCAATAATCTTCATTTCACTCATCTAGCACATGTATAAAAAATAAAAAATTTGAAACATTCACAGAGAGAGAGAGAGAGAGGGGTCAAGAACAAGCACACGAGTGTCAACAATGGCAGCCGAACATCTCTTCCTCATCAGTCCCAACAGAGCCGCCGTGGCCAGACTCTTAGCGCTGTGCTTGCGGCAGAGTTTGGAGAGGAGGGGGGGTCTCGATCGGCAGTAGAACTGAGGAAGAGGAGGCGGGAGATCGGCGGGTAGAGAAGGAAGATCGGCCGGGAGAGAGAGAGGAGGAGGGCTATCGACGAGAGATCGGCAGGGAGAGGAGGAGATCGGCGCGGGGAGAGAGAAAAAGAGAGAGAGAGAGAGAGCGCAAGAGAGAGAGGGGGGCGGTGTGACTCACACAGGTTGTGTGTGTTTTAGGGTGTGGTTCATATATGTATATATATATATATATCTGGGGGTATAATAGTAATATTACATCAGGAAAACGGGGACGGGGACGGGGCTGAAACACTAATCCCCGTCCCCGACCCGAAATTGATCGAGGATTAATTTTTGAATACCGTCTCCTCCCCGTCGGTGATATTTTTCGGGGAAAAACTGCTCAACTCGGGGTCAGGGGATCAGGTCCCTATCGGGCCGGGTTTAAATTGCCATCCCTATACATGTACAAAGGTCATGTCATGAGCTTTTATAAATTCTGTCTGGTACAATACTAGTAGGACTCCAATTCTCCTTATAAGATTCTCCTTAGGAATCACACTTCCAAGGATAATGTCTATCCTGATAACACCCTACTCACTACTTAGGCGAGTGAGATGGCTTAAAACCTGCTTACCTCGGTTTAGTAACAGATCAACCGAGCTAGCATGGTCGCGACCTACGCCAGGCCATGCTCACATAGCTTGGCGCTATTGCAGGTTACTCCGCAAGTCTTTACTGTTTAGATGATGTTCAGCAGAGCTATCATATACCTCGGCCCTCCCGCCAACAATACCTCGGTTCAGGACGGTCAAACCAGGCCACTGGTAGCCTGCCTCTGATCGAACTGTCGGGATAAAGGACCGACCTTTTTTACCTCAGCTCGTAGTATAGCCCAACATCCAGGAGGTCGCACCTAGCTCGGTCATTTTCAATAGTTGTACTTAGCTCGACCCTTTTCAACAGTCATACTTAACTCGTTTCAATTTTCACATAAATTACCCTCTCATAATCCATATGCATAAAGTGCATCTAGAATTTTGTCACAGCAATATATTTGTAGGTTGTAATTATAAAATACAATAATAAATAATTTTATTATACATAAAATGAAAATCATAAAATATCATTTCACTCGGTATGAAATTGTTTGTATAGGGCAACTTCATTATGCTTATATGGTAGATGTCTAGCATTTATTTAAACAACAATGATAGAGATCACTAATTTTGAAACTCTAAAAAGATCACTAATGACATGGCACTCAATAAAAAAAGAAAAAAAATACAACACCAAGGTCAAAATATCAAATCATTCATGGTGGAACCCACTGCCACATCATTAGTGATAGCACTAATTAGTGCTCTCACTCATTTTCCTTATTTAAAAAAGAACTATTGCGAAAGTCTAGAAGTTCTAGGGAAAAAAAAATTAATAGTTGGGTGGGCACGGGGCACACGCCGTACACGCCGATCTGTGAAGTGTCTAGAACACAAATAATTGAACTCAGATCCAAGGTAACATAAAATCCCCTGATAAACTTCATCATTTGTTACAAACAAAACAGAGACTCATCACTCTTTTTTCCATTTTTTGAGTACCCAAAAACATGGTTCACAAGCACATCCTCCTGTTCACATACCCAGCCCAAGGCACAATCAACCCCTCAATCCAATTCGCCAAACAGCTCATAAAATTGGGTGTCAAGGTCACCATAATCACAAGCCTCTCTGCCCATCGTCGCATGCCCAAAACCACCACAACCCCACCAGGTTTAAACTTTGTTTCCTTCTCCGATGGCTACGATGATGGTCTCAAACCCGGTGATGACTATCAACAATTCCTCTCTGGGCTCAAGAACCAGGGTGCCGAAACTCTAACCCAACTCATCACTTCCAGCGCCGAACAAGGTAACCCTGTCACAGGTGTGGTCTACACCATGCTTCAAATATGGGCAGCCAAAGTGGCTCAATCCTTTCACATCCCATCCACACTTCTTTGGACTCAACCAGCAGCCCTTTTCCGTATCTACTTTCATTACTTCAATGACTATGGCGATTCCATTAAAAACATTTTCAACGATCCATCGTCGTTGTCAGTTGAATTACCACTGCTGCCACGGCTGACTAGCCGTGACCTTCCCTCCATTCTTCTTCCTGCAGACTCAGACTCGATTAACCGTTTATTGCTGACATTTAAAGAACAGATACATACACTTGAAGCAGAAGCTAAACCAAAAATTTTGGTAAACAGCTTCGATGCATTAGAGCCAGAAGCCTTAAGAGCTATTGATAGGCTCAAATTGATTGCAATTGGCCCATTAGTCCCATCAGCATTCTTGGATGGAAAAGATCCCTCTGATACTTGTTTTGGTGCTGACCTGTTCCGAAAATCAAGAGATTATGTTGAATGGTTGGATTTGAACCCAGAATCATCCGTTGTTTATGTATCGTTTGGAACTATGGCAGTAATATCAAAGAAACAAAGAGAGGAGGTTGCCTGGGGGTTGCTGGAATGCCATCGGCCATTCTTGTGGGTTATGAGGGCTACAAAAAATGGTGAGAAAGAAGAAGATGAACTAAGCTGCAGAGAAGAACTCGAACAATTGGGGATGATAGTGCCTTGGTGTTCTCAATTGGAGGTTCTTTCACACCCTTCTTTGGGATGCTTTGTTACTCATTGTGGGTGGAATTCTTCATTGGAAGGTTTGATATCTGGTGTTCCAATGGTGGGTTTCCCACAGTTTGTTGATCAGCCAACAAATGCAAAACTTATAGAAGATGTATTCAAGACTGGAGTGAGAGTGATAGCGAATGAAGATGGAATAGTGGAAGGTGAGGAGATCAAGAGGTGCATAGAAGTGATTATGGGAGGTGGGGAGAAAGGGCAAGAAATGTACAAAATGGCCAAGAAATGGAGGGAATTGGCAAAGGAAGCGGCAAAGGAAGGTGGGTCTTTAGACATGAACCTTAGGGCTTTCGTTGATGAGGTTTAAGAAGGTTTATAGGATGAGTCTTTTCATGATAAGTTGTGTAAATCTAATGATAGGGATTTGTTAGGACTTGGTTTCGGCAAATTCGATTTTATACACACTTGTTTCAGTTGTAATGTTGTTTTCATTTGAATGTGTATTTATCTTAGTCCATATATACATGCACTTGTGTGCGTAAACCCCTCTCAAGGACTTAAGCTTAAGCTGCAAATTAGAATCAATGTGACTCAATCGGATCCAGCGTCACTGCAGTGCGTCACTGCAGTGTGTGAAACACAATAGTGACTGTTATGCGGTCCGTGTAACTCATTTCATGTCTTATTTTGATAATTCGAATCGTTCAAATTTTAGATAATATCGAGAATAATATACTTGTAAAAAATCAAGTTAATTAGATAATAATAACCTGTTCATCAAATAACATCTTTATATAAAAAAAATAAATATGTATGTATCAAACTAAATATAAATGTTATTTGATGAGGAGGTTATTAATATCCGATCAATTTGATTTTTTATAAATATATTGTTCTCAATATTTTTCAAATTTTCAACGATTCAGATCATCAAAATAAAATTCGAAATAAATTTTACGGACCGCACAACAATCACTGTTGTGCTTCACGCACAGCAATGGCACACTAGATGTGACTCAATAGGGCTTCACCTTAACCCAAATTAATTCAAACTTGGGTGAATCACACAAGAATTTGAACAAATTCTAGACTTTTAAATTTAAATTTAATGATCATATGAATAAATCACATATCTCTAATGAAAAACTCAAACGTTCTAGTAATGGAATAACGCTTGGGTGATGAGTGCTACTATTTAATTCACGCTACAAAGATTTTAATTTGTTTTTCAATGACAAAAAGTTTGGGAGATAAAGTATAGAGAATTTGATAACCATACTATTTTTTTTTTTTTTGCTAGCTAGAATCACCTATATAAGGGTGGGATAGTATCTACTAATAACATATATAGCCTCCGTTTGGTTAGTGGGTTGACTTTTTAATTTTATTTTGTAAGAGAAGAGTATAATGATTATGGGTTAAATGTAATGTTTTGTTTATTATGATTAAAATAACATATTTTATCTTTTGTGATTAAAATAACTTATTTTATCTTTTGTGATTAAAATAATTTAAAAAAAAAAAAAAACTCTTTCCAAATGGAACCATAATGATTGATAATGACAACGCCAGAAATTTTTTTTTAGTGGTTTTAACTTCAACAATGATAGAGACCACTAATTTTGGAACTCTAAAAAGACCACTAATGACATGACACTCAATAAAAAAAGAAAAAAAATACAACACCAAGGCCAAAACATCAAATCATTCCTGATGGGATCCACTGCCACATCATTAGTGATAGCACTAATTAGTGCTCTCACTCATTTTCCTTTTAACTTTATGTTGGACCTTCCAAAATCCCTTGATTGGGAGGGCACATAGCAAGTCTAAAAGTAAAAATCACCGAATGTATGCTTTTATTTAATAATATGGTTGGGATTAATTTAACTTATCAAAAGACAAAATAAATTAAAAAATTAATAAAATAATACGTCACATTTAAATTAGAATTATTTTTTTTCATAAAATTACAAAAAAATTAATAATTTATCTCAAACAATTTTTTTTAACAAAACTAAAACAGTCAAAAAAAACAAAAACAAAAAAAAACTAAACTAAAAATGTTTTGCCCAAACGAACCTTTACCAATAACTCCAACCTCATTTATTAGTTTCTCTTTCAATGGCATGAATGTAAAAATGTCACATTTTGTAGAAAATATAATCCAAATCTTGTTAATAAATTCATTTTTATGGGTATTACAATAGTTAAAAGGTCATTAACAAAAAATTAACTATTTTTTCTATTTTTTTGAATGTTTTTTCGTAAAAAGTTAAAAATTCATCCTCACCATTATATGATTATAATGGAGGATCTCCATTATATTATTTAAAAGTTGTAAAAAAATTATGAAAATTTATTACTATTTTATATTTAGAAAGAATTATTTTAAATCTTTACATAGTATAATGGAGACTGTCTATTACAATTTTAAAGTAAAGAAGGTCACAATTTTAAATTAACTAGTTTCTAAAAAAACCCAAAATGAGAAGTACATATTAATTCACATTATTAATTAATATATAAATTTTATATTTGTATAACATTATTCCAAATAACAACTGGTGCTACACAATTCGGGCAAAATTAGAGGATATTAGTATAACAATTTAAAGACAAAGACTAAAAATAGTTAAAAATTGATGTTTAAGGATTTAAAACAGGCTGGCCTTGTCGTATTGTCTTTATGGTGTCGTCACTCAAGTTATTGCTCACGTCTTTAGAAAATGTTAAAAATTTTATGAATTGGGTTAAAGCCAAGCCAACTGATGAATGGAACCATATAAAGACAAATCTCTGTCGCTTTCAAGCGTCTTAGAAAAGTAATTGTGTCATTTGTCTTTCAAGTTGACTGCTAAATTAGTAACACATATTATTTCGAATATACTTACCCAACTTATCAAAATTTTCAAATGAAAAATATTTGAGGTACTTAAAAATTAAAGGTAGTTATGAATTTTTGTGTGTAATGTTTTTTTATTTTATTTTTTTAATGAATTATTTTGTGATTTTGCCTTATGTTTTTTTTAATCATAATTGGAGAAGTTTAATTGCTTTTTTTTTATATATATATATTTTAAATTTAGATTAAATCGTTGTGTTAATTTGTTATTGATTGTTTGATTGAAATTGTTATTTATTATTTAAAATTAAATTATAATCACAAATCAATATTTTGAGATTTTTTTAGATTTTTCATTTATCAATTGATAAATTTATTAATAGAATTTAATGGGTAATAAGTCCTAAAAGTAGGACCTATTAATAATTTACCCTAACTAATTAATCAAACTAACTTAACTAATTTTTTTTTAAAAAAAAAAATACTATAAACATAAATAAAAAAAAATATTTTTATGATATGTTATTTATGCATCTAATGTTGACGTGACATTTACAATAATATTTTTGAAAAATAACAATGGGCTGAAATAAGCAAAGATGCAACAAATATTGATTGAGGGAGTAAACAGAAATAGAGTCTTCAAAACAGTAGGAAAACCTTTTCGCCTAGTAATGGAGGCTAGTTAGATGTGGAGAGCGAAAATAAAAATAAAAATGAGCAAAATGCCTTTTATGATGCATAGCTTGTTGGAGAAAGAAAAAACCAGCTTCACTAGTAAAAACACCTCATATGGCCCTTTTGCTTTCTCCCTCGGAGATGCTCTTACATTTCTTACATATATTTGAATACAAACTAACATAAATAAATTAAAACTTACAAACAAAAATAAAATTTTCTAATCATTTCTCATTTTAATAATTTTTTCAATATCATTATTAATAACAAATAATCATTATTTAAACACTCTTAATTTTTTTTATTATCAAAACATGGGTAAATACGTTAAAAAAAATTCATTCATAAATATGAGTAAACAGGCCTGATTCATTGCGAGTTACTTATCTCAAGCAAATAATATGGCCCATAAGACTCAATTACTCTAGATGAAATTAATAGTGCATGCCCATGCCTTAAAATAGGTGAACACAAAGGAAAAATAAAAAAATAGGAAGACAAATTAAAAAAAAGGGAAAAATAAAAAAATAAAGAGGAAAGAGGGAGGAAGGTGGAGAGAGAGAGAGAGAGAGAATGAATTAAAAAGGGGAAAAAAAGAAGGTAGGTGAATGAGAATTAAAGAAATCTTGATCTTAGTATAAATTTGAAAATTAATCTTAGTCATTGATACAAAATATATCTTTTAAATATTTTGACATATTTTCAAAAATAGTATTATATAGATTTACCGATGGGCTGAATTTAGAATTCCAAATTAAATCAAATTGTCTCTTCAAGTAAGTCAATTTATAGCAGTTTAACCCCAAGTTAGATTAATTTTATAAAATGATCAAATGGCCCAACGTATGTGTGTGTGTGTTTTTTTTTAACCCAACTACAAGTTTAACATGTTCTTTTTAATTTTATTTTTTTATTTTTCTTAAATTACACTTTTTATTTGAATTTTAGTTTGGTTCTTGATATTTCATTTACTATAATTAAGTTCTATGATTTCCACATGTGTATAAATAAATCCATTATGTTACACACTATTAAAAAATTAGACAAAAAATGATCATATATCATATGAGGATCACTTGAGAACGTTTTAACAATATTGAAAGAGAGACAAATTACACATTTTACCGCAAATGAAATATCTTTAGGGACTAATTACACTTTTTATAATTGTTTTCTTGCATAGTCTACTTTTATTGTCAGTCTCGTAGAGTGATATTGCACCCCATTTACTTCTACTTCCCCAGCATAATTGAATTAAAAACCAAATGCTTGTTATCTCATTTCTTGTTTGTCCCAGGTTCCGGTAGATTCAGTGTCTGGTTGATCGAGGTTGCCTAAGATTTGAAGGAGGGCAAGAGCTGCATTACCATGACATTGGTTAAGACATTGATGGGCTTAGACGTTTTTCATCGTCGGGAGACGGCTAGGCTTGCGGGGAGCCCACTACTATTGCAGGTAATGTTTTCCACCCAATCTCACATATGTATTGCTTTCATCACTCGGCTCTCAGGCTCAGTTTTTCTCACAAAACCCTTTTCTTACCTTTCTCTCATCGTACATCTCTCTATTCTTTGTTCTCTCATTTTTCATTCCTCCCCAGGTGTGGTTGGTGGACAAGTTACAGATTGTGGAGTCTTGCCCAGCATACTTAGCTCGCGGCTACTTTTTTCGACAACGTCTGGTCGATGCCCTGGATGAGGGGTGGTGGTACAACTAGATGTGCAGTTTGTCTGCAAACCGCATCGCTTGGCGCTGCCCTTGGCTCAATTTGCCGGCAATGAGATATAACATGACCCGTCAACCTGGGATTCAATTGATTGGCATGACACACTGTGTCTTCTATTTTCCGTTCCGGCTTCGGCGCCAGTTCGGACATGATAAGACTTGCCCGCCAGAGGGGATACAGTACCCTGTTGCATTCCCAGCTCGAGGTGCACAGCTTGCCCGATATGTCACAGCATGGAGGACTAGGGAGCTCCTGGCCCCCGCTCCCACTTTCAGTTGCACTTTGTCTGATAAGTGCT